GCTAACAAGCCAGAAATGACCATTCTGGTCTCCCTTGTCTTTGTCGGCACCATCTCATATAGATGTATATAGTGGCAGAAGGACGCTCACCGATCGTGTTACGGAACTCACGGGTCCCGTTGTGCTTTAGGGCTCTCTCTCTCGAGCCCAACCAGCAGCCGCACAGCAGCGCGTGATATAGGTAGAATAGCATTATCAGGTACGGATCAAATGTCGGCGTCTATAGTCAACTTTATAACCCACATTGACATATTTATTAGTTTAACAATTAATCATAGTATACTGAAGTTAAACTACCGCGTGTGAGCTGAAAGTGTGGACGTTCAATTTTAAATCTAGGGTTGTTAGTGTTGGATATGCGGACATCTTTTATATGTGCCTCCATATTCTGGAGAGGCTAAAGTTGAGCGATTTTTTTTAAAAATGCGAACAACTAACTGGCTGCCCGACTGAGTCGTTGGCTTGTTGACGAGCAAGCCCATATGAGGACAAGATTTGGTTTCAAGTGCGGCATAGCATTCGGAATGTTACCGTTGGGCCTTCATAAACAAACCCACAAAACGTACAGGAAGGGCACTTGGTGAGATCAAACCATAAGTCGGTGTATTCTCACTTGCAGCCAGGGGACTACCAAAAGCCCAGAAAACCATGCAGAACAACTTCGGTGGATAATAGATAAAGAAAACTCCTTCATAACCGTTAGTTCGGCCAAAACGTCTTTCAAGATGCAAGCGTATCAGCACCTAAGTCAACAACCAAAAGGCGACATTATCAAAGTAAGTACAGAGATTACCCCAAGAAGTAAACCATTTGGCAGCTCCACAAACGAGAGGGCCGGATAAGTCTCCCAAAAGGCATCTTAAAGAGTTTGCTTACTTATCGAGTGGCATCCTGTTGGCCGGTGAAATAAAGACTAGTTTCGAAATTACAGGAAAAGGTGTTAAGGACGAGGAACTGTTCTTGATTAGAGGCTACCACCTCATCTGTGAGGCATTTTGGAGGTACGCTGCTAGGCCCTATGGGAGTGAGCGCGTAAACGCGCGCCCGGTATGTCGAGTCCTAATGACTGATACTTGTATCAGAAGGGGCAGCAACGAGGAGACCGTTTGTCCTCTTCTCCTTTCATTTTCTTTGGTGGAAATGGAATCTGATCACACATACTTGCGATCGGATTGTACGCTAACTACTTGTTGACCGCGGCGGAGGGTAGTGTTGCGGCTTGGGCATACAGGACTGCAAATGCAGCTGGTACACTGCATTTTTGGATGATATAACCGGTGGATGGTTTTAGAAGCATGCATAGTTGCATTACCAACTAGACTGTAGCCAAATTCATCGGAAGGCGCTCCACAGGGCACATGCACAGTGTGACCTTGAGGCGAACCATGAGGGCAATCAAGCACTTGAGAGAGAGAGAGAGAGAGAGGGAGGGAGAGGGAGAGAGAGAAAGAGAGAGAGAGAAGTGGATGGTTTTACGATAGTCAAGTCAACCATCTGACTTAAACCTGGCTGAGCACTAATTCCATCTGCTAAAGATAAAAAGCAGAAAGCCTGGCGCTGTCAAAAGGAAAGAACTGCAGTGATGGCCATGCGCTCATTGGCTGCAAAGAATTCGCACCCAAGTATTGAAGTGCCCCACGAAATTCACGATTACTGTTAGTTAAATAATAGAAGACTGCAGTCGATCAACCACAGGAGACAGAAGTGCTGTTCAAGCTCTTCCAGAAAATCTTTACCCCATTTTGACCCAACTGTGAAAAACTCGGTTGGCTGTACTTAAGCCCCCCCCCCCTTGCTGTCATGGGTTGGAATCCCGCCGAGTTTTTCACATTTGGGTCAGAGTGAATTATTTGAAATCTGTCATAACACCTATGAAAATCTTTACTGTTGATCCATATCCGGTCATGAACCCACCTGTCCAGGCCGGGATCAGTCCACACGCTAACACACTGCAGTCTGTCGAGTTCGGTGCGAGAGTCGAATTACGGGACTTGAATCCAAATAAACCACCAAAATCACGCCGGATGCCAGCTTATCGAAAAGGTAGCTAGGTTCGACGACATCACGTATCAGTGGTCGCTTGATCGCAGTAAGCCACCGCGCACAGCTATAAAGTGGCAAAGGAGCCGACCGACAAAGGTGGTTTACGGCTACAGGGAACAAATACTGACCTGTGCGTCTAACGTGCATCGGTTGTTGAATCAATGATCAGGTGAGAAATGACTTCATTTGTTCGACGAACACATTACTTTAATGGCGTACAACACGATTTTCGCTGAAATCGATTCTGCCTTACAGATCCTGACATCACATAAAACGCGGAGGAAGATTTTCAACAGGGGGTATGCGGTCAATGCTGCCTACATTAACGATCCCTCCTAAGACTACGGCGGGGTATCGATCTTGGTTTATGCTGGAAGTGATGTCCTTCAAAGATCCTTTCACGATGTCATGCTAACATAAGCCTCTAGCCGAATTCCATCTTATCTACTAACTCTCTATTTCTCGTTTCAGCCCCCGTACGTCAGTTGTAAGATGAATAAAGCCCTGTTATAGGGTATTGTCGTTCTGACTCTTGCATCCATATTTGTTCGTCTTCTCCATCTCGTGTGCTTACTACGGTCCTAGCTACAACAATTTATTCATCTTACAATTCCAAAATGCGTCGATTCCTTAGGCCAGAGCGATTCGATGCTGATTCAAATGCTCAAGACGCTTCGAAACAGTAGTCATTGGTTTCGCACTGTTGAAAATTTCTTGTCCACGATCGAAACCCGAAACCGGATAAATTAAGCGTTCTGATTAACTACGTTTCTCCGACAATCTGGGAATGCATAAGTGAATGCTGTTAAATTGCTGCAAGATCTCTACCTACGACCCAAAAACGAAATTTTCGTCCGCCATCTTCTGGCAACCTACAGACATGAAGGCGGACAAACCCTCGACCAGTTTGCTCAAAAGTTAAAATCCTTAGCTAAGGACTGTGATTTTAAAGCCGTTACAGCAAAACAAAATCGCGACGATGTCATTAGAGATGCGGTTATCAGTGGCCTTTCATCAAACCAGATTCGGCAGAGGTTATTGGAGCAGAAGACTTTAAACTTCTAAACTGCCTCTGATATGGCAAGGTCACTGGAATGGGCAGAAAGACAGTCTCTATCGTATCAGAACCCTCCGGCGACCTCATTCTCTGCTGCCACCGAGCCATGTGACGCTTCGCCAAGTCCCGTTAAGGAGCCTGATCTAGTGACTTCTACTTCATTCCATAGCAAATGTTTCTTTTGTGGATACGACAAGCACTGCCGTTCGATGTGTCCTGCACGCGATGCGTTATGCAAAGGGTGCGGTAAAAAAGGACATTTTCAAAAGGTGTGCCAAGCAGCACGAAATCGAAAAGCCTTCTCTTCCGCTATGTATCCCTCCATTTACGCCGTGGCATCAGCTGCTGTTCCCGACTGTCTTTCAAGTGCAGTGGTTGCATTACAAGTAAATGGGACCAATTTTCAGGCCCTTATTAACACAGGCAGTTCTGAAAGTTACATTTCTTCCTCAGTGGTGCTCCGAAATAAGTGGAAGGTTCATAACCTTCGCACAAAAATATCCATGGCTACCACAGCCTTAACCAGCGCCATGCAAGGACATATTGTTGTCACTATACGAGAAGGTCAAGCTATCGGTCTTGCCGAATTCGTACGCCGATGTTCTACTTGGACATGACTTTCTCCGACTCCACAAAAGTGTTGAAATCCCTTTTGGTGGACCTAAACCTACGTTCTCGTCTTGTTCTGTGGCTGCCGCTTGCGTCGAGCCTCCCCGTTTGTTTCCTAATCTGACATCGGACTGCAAACCTATCGCTACTAAATCTTGCAGACACACCAATATGGATGAGAGATTTATACGAGAAAAAATTCGTCGCCTATTTTGTGAGGGTGCAATTGAGCATTCATTATTCCCCTGGCGAGTCTAAGTTTTGTTCGTAGCCAATGAAAACCACAAAAAGCGGATGGTTGTCGATTATAGCCAAACGATTAACAGATACACACTTCTATATGCCACCAGGAGACGGCCACGCCGGTACCAGAAAACTTCTTCCCACTTTCCCCTGACCACCCACCCACTACCGAGCAAGAAAGTAGCCCCGTTTCAACTAACGAGCAGAACGGTGCAACATCTGTTAGTGTACCTAACGCTGACGATGTCCGTATGCATAGCCTAGAAACATTAATCCAACAACAACAACGTGTTCACTCATACTGTCTTCGTAACAGAGACGCCTGAACTTTGTCCCATGCTAACTTTTCCCATCGATTTTTGACATTTCGATTCCTCAATTTGTTGGCCTGGGTGAATGTCATGCTAACATAAGCCCTGACCGAATTCCATCTTATCTACTATTTTTCTATTTCTCGTTTTAGTCCCTGTACGTCAATCGTAAGATGAATAAAGCCCTGTTATAGGGTATTCTCGTTCTGACTCTTGCATCCATATTTTTTTCGTCCTCTTCATTTCGTGTGCTTGCTACGGACCTAGTTACAACACACGAACAATCCCTTTCCACACTACGTTAACGACCTGGTGGATACGGACAAGAAAGACGTGGAGTTTATAACAGATGACCTTCAACTCCGGGGGATTATTGGCGAGGAAAATGACACCATTACCATGCAAAGTGATATCGAAGGACTATGTGACGAGTGTGTACTCCAACCTTCCAGTTCAACAATGATGTGGAACCTGAAAGACGAAGGCGAACTCCCTGGAAACATCGCTTTAACAAACTCCCTCTAAGAGCTGTTAATTTCTAACAAGGCCATAATATTCCGATATAGGATGGCTTAAGTAGTGCAATACAGTCCTTAACGGTGATGGGCCTTGCAACTGGGTCAGAGAGAGCTATATGACGCCAGTTCTACAGCCCGCAGATCGGTATGTTTTCGGAGGCCTCGTTAAGCCTCGGGTGTTGCGTGGCCCATGCCAGGAGGCCATAGCTGAAGAGGTATGTGCAAATTCAAGAAGAGTTCCAGGGACGCGCCATCCGAATGGTGTCTGAACTAAAGCTTCTTGGAGGAACACAACGACAGCCAACCTTAAATTTGTCCTCAGAGGAACGGGACTGAGGTAAATCTAGCTTGATCCTCCTCTTGCCGAAAAGTTTAAACTGTGGTATGGACTATGCGTAACTTTTAGTTGGTGTCGAGGTCGAGCGTTCGAGGGCGTGGGAGGATGCCCAAGAGGTAAGACCGCCAGACAAACCGACGCGCTGACTTCCTGCAGTGAGTTCCCTGTAGTGGTAGTGGAGACCGAGACTACCGGTAGCTTCATAACAGTCACAGTCTAAAACGCATAGCCCAGCTGTGGAGATAATGAATCCCTAGAACGCGTAGTTGCTCATGCCTGCCTATGTAGTTTGGCATCTTAACCTATAAATGCTACTAACTTGATATAAGTAACATTTAGTGTTTGCAATAGAAAGGGGATGAACCCACTAGGCGGCAAGTTGACACCGTTCCTCCACGTAAGGACAGCAGCTCCTACCCTAAATAATAATGACCTACACCGACATACACTGCCTCACAGCGATCGTCATAGGGTTAGTCCTAAACAGTTCGCACTCGTTGCCATAAACTTGGCAGGCCATACCACGGCACAAAAGGACGGTCTTAGTGGCTACCCACTCAAAGAGTTCACTGTTGTTGCTCTAAATACATTTCCGTCGTCTGTCATGAGGGGACGACGAAGTCACATGGTCCTCGGATTTAGGTTGTTTGGTTTACCTCCTGGGGACGATTGAAACCAACTGTGTGAAACACGTGGATGCACTAAAGGACCCCAGCGCGGACCGCCAGAACAGGGATAATGCAAAGAGTTCCCGCAGTCCGCTTATTGATTCAACAACTGCCTACGCAAGAATAAGCAAAAACTCGAGAACAGTAGATCACCGGGACGCCGGCCGTACCCGTTGTTGAAAAAGCAGGCCTCTTGACTGGCATTGTCTTCCCAACTATGACACACTTCACCATCATAGAGCCCAGCAAAGCAGCTAAATTTAGTTGCACGACGACCTACGCGTTTATTACTCTAGGAATAAGGTTACTGGGGTGGGTTAAGTCATATCCAGTGCTGTTTACATAAGGCAGGTCAGACAATTAAAGTCGAAAGGAAGATTAGGAAAAGCTATATAAACTGCCAAAACATCTATAAATTACGTGAGCCTGGGCAATCTGGTGGATTCTAGGTGAATTACTTAGGAAATCCTGCTTGGCCAATCAGCTTACTGGAACATATTTTGTGGATTTCAGATGCTGCGGTAGGTTGGGCGGACAACTTGACCCAAATGTGATTAAACTCGCGTCTCCCGGTGGGCCCTCGTAGCTCATGTGGCTAGGACGTCGGCTGTACTAAAGTCTTCCCCTTTCTGTCATGGGTTCGAAACCCATCGAGACGCCGCGTTTTTCACAGTTGGGTCAATATGAATTACAGATTGGTAGGAATGGAAAACGTAAATTTCCTGCATGCCCAACTTTAACATGTTTACACACGCACGAACCTGGTATTTTCCGTGCAGCTGGCGGATAGACTGGATTATTTGGGCTTCACGCTGCTGTAGAATTAGTAAAGGATCCGGATTAAGGGAGAGGGGAGCTGTGGCACTCCCGCTGCCCCCCACGTGACCGAATTTAGTCCCAAGGGCCTGATTAAGAGGAGGTGGGAAGATGCTGGCGCCGCCGCCGCCGCCGCCGCCACTACTTGAGGAGAAACTGTTTGGACGGAGGATTTGGTCGCGGGCTGAAGGAGTGGGGTGGTCGAAGAAGCTGCCGCTGCCGCCGGCGCCGGCGCCCTCAAAACCGATTTCGCTGGGACTCATTGAGCCGGAAAGCACGCTGGATACGAGCATTGTCAATTGGGCGAGGCCTGGGTGTCCCGTTCGATGACGTAGATCAACTAATAAAGGTTGAGAGGTCAAGAGGTTGAGAGAATATGCAGAAAATACGAAGGGTGACGGAGGGTTAACACTGCATCTAGAATAACCTATAAAGATATAAACCGCCATAGGTCAAGGTCATAGTACTGCACTGTGAAGTCTAACCCGGTCAGTC